GCAAAAATAATCTATGGGGACATCATCAAAAGGCTTCTGCAAAGGAAGCAATCAAAAAAACTAATAGGCAACCTAAAGAGAAAATATTTGCAAATGACGTTATCTAATAAAGCTTTAGTGTCCAAAACATATAAAAAAAACTTGTGAAAAAAAAAAAAAAGGGCAGAAGACACCTGGGTGGCTCAGTTGGTGAAGCGTCCGACTTTGGCTCGGGTCATGATCTGGTGGCTTGGGGGTTCGAGCCCCAAATCAGGCTCTGTGCTGACAGCTCAGAGCCTGGAGCCTGCTTCAGATTCTGTGTCTCCTTCTCTCTCTGTCCCTCCCCTGCTCACACTCTGTCTCTCAAACATTAAAAAAAATTTTTTTAATGGGCAGAAGACATGAATAGACACTTCTCCAAAGAAGACATCCAGACGGCTAACAGACACATGAAAAGATGCTCAACAGCACTCATCATCACAGAAATACAAATCAAAACCACAATGAGGTATCACCTCACACTGGTCAGAATGGCTAAAATTAACACAGAAAACAACAGATGTTGCACTGATGATGGTGCAAAAGCAAACTGGTGCAGCCACTCTGGAAAACAGTATGGAGGTCCCTCAAAAAGTTATAAATAGAACTTATTCTACCATCCAGCAATTGTGCTACTAGGTATTTACCCAAAGGATACAGATACACTAATTCCAAGGGACAGATGCACCCCAATGTTTACAGCAGCACTATCAACAACAGCTGAATTATGGAAACAGCCCAAGTGTCCACCAACTGATGAATGAAGAAATAAGATGTGGTATGTATATGTAACAGAGTATTACTCAGCCATCAAAAAGAATGAGATCTTGCCATGTGCAACAACATGGATAGACCTAGAGTGTATTATGCTAAGCAAAGTAAGTCAGAAGGACAAATATCGTATGCTTTTACTCATGTGAAATTTAAGCAACAAACAAGAAAATGGAAGAAAATAGAGAGCCAACCAAGAAATAGACTCTTAACTACAGAGAACAGACTGATGGTCACCAGAGTAAGGGTGGGTGGGGGGATGGGGAAAACAGGTAATGGGGATAAGCGGAGGGACACTTGCTATGATGAGCACCGGGTGATGTGTGGAAGTGTCGAATCACTATACTGTACACCTGAAACTAGTGTATGATAATACACTATACATATGTTAATGGGAATTTAAATAAAAACTTAAAAAAAATTATCAACAAAATACTACCAAACTGAATTCAACAGCCTATTAAAAAGATCACATAGGGGTGCCTGGGTGGCTCAGTCGGTTGGGCGTCCGACTTCGGCTCAGGTCACGATCTCGCAGTCCGTGAGTTCGAGCCCCACATCGGGCTCTGTGCTGACCGCTCAGAGCCTGGAGCCTGTTTCAGATTCTGTGTCTCCCTCTCTCTCTGACCCTCCCCCATTCACGCTCTCTGTCTCTCCCTGTCTCAAAAATAAATAAACATTAAAAAAAAATTTTTTTTTAAAAAAAGATCACATATATGATGAAGTGGGATTCATCCCAGGGATGCAAGGATAGTTCAACATATGCAAATCAGTAAGCACGATAAACAACATTAATAGAAAAAAGGATAAAAAGCGCATGATCCTTTCAATACTCAATAGATGCAAAATTTGAGAAATCTGCATGTGAAAGGCAACACCCTTTCACAACAAAAGTTCTCAACAAATTGCATATAGAAAGGACAAACATGGACATGGAAGGACACAACATGAAAGCCATATATAACAAACCTGCAGCTAACATGCTAAATGGTGAAAAGCTAGAAGCTTTTCCTCTAAAATCAGGAATAAAACAAGGGTATCCACTCTCCCCACTTTTATTAGTACTGGAAGTCCTAGCCATAGCAATTAGACAAGAGAAATAAAAATGAAGTTTTAATTGTGTATGTTTGAAGATGACATGATCTTATATATTCAAAATCCTAAAGACTCCAACAAAAAAGTTACAATAAGCAAATTCACAAAGCCGTAGAACTAAAAAGTCACATTTCTATACACTAACAACATAGTAACTGAAAGAAAAAAATCCCATTTATAATAGCATTAAAGCAACTGTATCTCAATAAAACAATAAAATACTTAAGAAAAATATTTAGCCCGGGGGGTTAAAGATCTGTACACTGACACGGATTTAAAAAAACAAACAAAAAACTGGAAGACAAAAATAAGTGGAAAGATATGCCATGTTCACGAACTGGAAAAATACTGTTAAAATATCCATACTACCCAAAGCCATCTATAGAGTCCATGCAATCCCTATCAAAATCCCAATGTTACTTTTTCACAGAAATAGAAAAGAAAAATTCTCAAATTCATCTCAAACAGCCAAAGCAATCATCACGGAGGAAAAAAACAAAAACAAAAAAAAAACAACCAAGCCTGGAGGCATCACACTTCCTGATTTCAAACTTAATCACAAAGCTACAGGAATCAGAACAGTATGGTATTGGATGAAAGAGAGACATATAAGGTCCATAGAACAGAGAGCTCAGAAAAAAAATAAATTCGTGCATATAGTTAACTAATATTTCACAAGGGAGCCAAAAATATTCAACAGGGAAAAGCGAGTCTTTTCAACAAAGTGCTGGGAAAACGAGAGACTCATATGCAAAAGAATGAAATTGGACCCAAACCTTCTACCACCACAAAAATTAACTCAAAATGGATTAAAGAGTTAAATATAAGTTCTGACACCATACAACTCCTAGGAGGAAATACAGATAAAAAGTTCCCAGACACTGGCCGTGACCAGAATTTTTTGGATAGGATGCTAAAAAGCCCAAGAAACAAAAGCAAAAACCAGTCAAGGGCACTGTATCAAAAAGTATCTGCAAGAAAGTATCTGGAAGTATGTGAAAGAAAGTATCTGCAAACATGTATGAGAGAAGTGGTTAATATCGAAAAGTATATGAACTCCCAGAACTCCAAGGGAAAAAAAAAAAATTTAAACATGGGCAGAGGAGCTGAAGGTATTTTTCCAGACATACAGATGGCCAAGAGACATATGAAAAGATGCTCAACATCACCAATCAATGGGAAATGCAAATCAAAACCACAATGAGGTATCACCTCACACCCGGTGAAATGTCTAGAATCAAAAAGACAAGAAATAACAAGTGCTAGCAAGAATGTAGAAAAGGGAACCCTGGTGCACGGTTGGTGGACATGTAAATTGATGCAGCCACTGTGGATAACATCATGGAAGATTCCTGAAAACATTACAAACAGAACTTCCCAATGATCCAGCAATCCCACTTCGGCATATGTATCGGAAGGAAATGGAATCACTCTCTCAAACATTTATCTGCACTCCCGTGTGTACTGCAGCAGGATTCACAATAGCCAGTTCATGACGACCTCTAAGTGTCCATCAACAGATATGAATACAGAAAATGGAGGCGGAGGCACACGCACACAGTGGAGTATTATTAACCCATAAAAAAGAAGGAAACCCTACCATTTGCAACACGGATGGACTTTATCATAGGAGTATGCTGTGAGGATCTGATGTACGGTGTACTGGCGACAGCTGACAACACTGTATTACACTCTGAAGTCACTAAAAAAGTAACCCTTAAATGCTCTTATCTCACAAAAAAACTAAAATTACGTGAGGAGACCAATGTGTTCATCTTAATGTGGCTCAACTGTGCACTTCACACCGTAGACTTACATGGTGCTGCATGTCAGTTACATCCCAATAAAGCTGGGACGAAAGGGATGAAGCACTGAACTGTTTCTAAGGCTGAGGACAGAGCAGTACATTTACTGACCTGGCGGTTCTTGGTGACCCTAACAAGAACAGCCTACAGTCGAGTAAGCTGAAGAAAAAATGACAAAGAAGAGCGTAAGCTCAGATTAAATTCTTCCTTTGTTGTAAAAGGAAGCCAAGAAGTGAGACAACAGCTAGAAGACAACACAGGTGCAAGAAAAGGTCCTGTTAGGGTGGCGATGGCACAGGAAGTTTGCATGATGAAGTAAGTAACTTGGAGACAGAAAGGGAAGGTCACTGCCCCAGCCAAGATCTTAACACTGGCAGCAGGTCTGAGATACGAGGACAAAGGCCAAGTGCAAGAGCTGGCCTCAGTTCTTTCAAGAGGGAATGGACAGGAGACGTTAGGATGGCCTGCGGACGCTGACTCTGCTAGGGGAAACGGAGCAGTTCTCTCTGCACCCGTGAAGCAAGGCTATGAGCTGCGAGGAAGTCAGGGAAGAGGGTGTCAAAACTTAGGGAGAGAGGCAATGTCATTTTCTGAGGGAATCATGGCAGGGCGGCCCAAGACCACTCGGCCCCGGTAGCTTTTCCAGTTCTAACATACAGGAAGGAGTTATGTCAAACACCAATTCCAAACCCTCAACAACCCTCCCGTGTCATGGTTCCCAAGACCCATATGCATCATGGTCACCTCGTTCTGGTCCTGCTGCAATTCTGACAATATTCCTTTCAGTGGCGTGCCACCAAAAGAACACCCCTTTCTCAGTGCAGGGCAGAAACCATGGACTGTCACCTTCACTATTTTGGACACACTAACGTATGTAACTTACATATGTTAACTAAATGCCTATCCTTGCACTAGAATACTACATACCTCATAAATAACTAACGTGTAGCGTAAGTCTTCCATCATGTCAACTGACCCTTTTCAAAAACACCAGCTCGTGGCAAGCTTCCCCTCTACGGGGGGCGTATTGCTCACACCTCTAATCTGGTACCTGTGAGCTACCTGTGATGCTCAGGTCTCTTCTGCAGGCGTCTGGTCTCCCCAGTTGCAACGTCAGCACTTTAAGAACAAAGATTAGTATACCTGCCAGAATCCTCTAAAAGGGTCATGAATCTTAGTAAATACGTCGTATTTGTTAACTTCCCTACACTTTTTCCTATGTCCTCATAAATCAAATTCTCTTTACATCCTTTCATGTTTAACATTCTTATAAAAATGTCCATTCTATATTTGGAATATTTTCATACGTACTTGGTGGATCAGTATTTTCATCTCCAGGAGTATCTGAAGTTGACAAAAGCTATGAAACAAAAGAAAAATTAATAGGTAAAATCGGAACTCTCAAACAACCTTGAACAGCGCACCATTAAGATCAGTGTACCTTAAGTAATGTACATAATCATCCGACAACTAGATAATTTATAAACTTACTTTGCTTTGTTTCACCTTAACCGCCATAAAAATCCCCATAAACTTCACCTACTTCCAAATTAAAGTTCAAGTATTTCTGTAGTTTCAGGAAAGGAGGAACAAATATGAATGGCTTCTCATTCCACTGAAAAGGTGTATTTCAGCTAGGTCACTGTCAGTGATTCCAAACTCCTAACAAGTTGCTTGGTTTGTTTTTTCTTGAAAAGATAGAGGAAACACTACAGATCCTCCTCCAATTGCACCACAAATCTGTACAGGGGCAGAATGATTTTTCAAAAGACTAAAAGCAAAAAACCTTTTCTAAAAAGCCTTGAACAACGTAGTTACAAAAAGTAAAACTACAGATCTCACTAAATGGACATAAATTAACCATAATTTACAGGAAAACAGATGTAAATATTATTCATAATAATTTTTGGTTATTATTATTTAAGAGAATTCAGTGTTGCCAAATATAACTTACTCACCTGCTCAAGAAGGTGAGGGTATCGAGCTTGAATCTCATCAACAAAATCCTGCCCCTTCATGCGAATCAAGAACTCACACCTAAAAAAAAGGAGAAAAATTACTTTTAACAAGTATTATATACCAAAAATATAACCTGATCATTCTAGAAAAGTGGCTTTCAAACTGTGCCCCCGAGTATAAATATTTTACATCACAACACAAATATGTATGCATTTGTACATATCAAACAGAAAAAAAAAATCCTCGTATAACACTACTAACTCTTACTACGTATTGATGCATTCTGGTATTTTCTATTTAACCACATTAACACACAACAACAATGGAAGGGTTTGAAACTCAAAGGGAGCACAAGGTAAACCTTGAAAAATGCTGTTCTGGTCAGTTCACTTTTGGGGTTTCACATAGTTTCAGAAACTGTAATTTGGTATTTCTAAGATATAGTCTTTCACAACAAAGTAACTAATGATCTTTCTCCAGGGTCCACTCTTCCATTATATGTGATTACAGGTGAAGCACAAACCCTCCCTCCAAAAAATACGCAAGTATTTCTAGCTACATACAGTGTCTCCCAAATTCTTGCTTACAAACCACAACTTGTTAAAGACGGTCCCAGTAACCTGCATTCCGTTCCTTTTGTTTTTCAATAAATTGGTTCTAAACAACTCAATACCCATGTGCAAAAAAAAAAAAAAAAAAACCTCCACCTTTGTTTGCCATACTACAGGCAAAAGTCAACTAACAAAGAAACACAGAACTAAGCTTTAACCCTAAGGCAATGTAACTTCTAGAAGAAAAACAGTAGAAAATTCTCTTGTCCCTAGGTCAATTAAGACTTCTTAGCAAAGAGATCAAAAGCATAATCCAGATAAAACTGAAAAACTACCATCCTTAAAACCCACTGTTAAAACAATGAAAAGACCAGCCACAAGCCGAAAGCTGGCAAAACACTCTTGATAAAGAACGTGTACCCAGAATTTAAGAACTTTTCAAAGCTTAACAATTAAAACTAAAATGGGCAAGAAGATTTGGACATTTCACCAAAAAACATATGTAGATGACAAATAAGAAGCTCACCATCATTAACCATTAAGGAAATGCTCGCTGAAATCGCAGCGAAATACCACGACATACCTCCGAGAACGGCTAAAATAAAACCACCTGCTGATCCCAATCGCAGGGAAGAACATGAGCGCCTGGGGATCTCCCACACCGCGGGCGGGCTTCCGAAAACAATAGAGGGGTTCTCAGGAATTTAAAACCTGCCTTACAACTCACCAATCTCACGCCCAACTATCCACCCAAGCAAAAGGAAAACGTATGTTCCCAATTGTTTACAATGGCTTTATTCAGTATCACTCGACGGTGAGAAAAACCCAAATGCCCTTCACCTGGTGACTGGGTAAAATCAACAGACATCATCCAAGGCTTGCTCAAAACTTAAGTTTATTGTCAACGAGATAAAACAGCTGGTTATCACTATGTTCTCGGTCTTCACACGGTTTTAATTTATTTTTATTCTGGGACCAATCAATTTATATTCCTGATGATTACAGCAGGAAGTAAAATGAACCCTGGTTAATATATCTCCCCTCCTCTAATAAATCTGATAAAGACAGATTTGTCTTAGTCACTGCTATGTCTCCGGTATCTACAATAGCATCCAGCAGGCACTCAAATATTTGACGAATGAACTGTTACAATACAGTGATTAGCAATTAATCCATTTTGGTTTCTCATTTACTGAGATTAAAGGTTATCCCCAATTGAAATTTGCTGTTTTCAGACGGTTTACTAAAAGCACCCTTTTCCCTTATTTAGCCATCTAAAAACACAAATGACAGAAATAAACCAAGGTTTGGTTTGGTTTTACTTTATAAAGGACAAAATGCAGTAATTCAAACACTGGAACAGGAAAGCTGTTTTTGTTTTTCATACAGTATTAAATTTCAACTTACGTGTACACAACCCCCTGGAGCTAGGCATAATCAAATCATTTAAAATTCTGACAATATGCTTTTTCCTAAATAATAACCAAGATATAGGTCACTTTGAGAGTTAAAAAGTCAAATGTTCTATTATGAATTTAAAGATAAAATTTTAAATTTTTTTTTTTTTCAACGTTTTTTTATTCATTTTTGGGACAGAGAGAGACAGAGCATGAACGGGGGAGGGGCAGAGAGAGAGGGAGACACAGAATCGGAAACAGGCTCCAGGCTCTGAGCCATCAGCCCAGAGCCTGACACGGGGCTCGAACTCACGGACCGCGAGATCGTGACCTGGCTGAAGTCGGACGCTTAACCGACTGCGCCACCCAGGCGCCCCCTTTTTTTTTTTTTAAATTTTTTTTTTTTTTTTAAAGATAAAATTTTAAAACATAACTTTTAACAATGTACTGATCCATAATAAAATATTTCTTACTTCAGGTTTCTTTTTTACTGTATCACACAAAAATGACAAAAGGATGTTTCAATTTCTTCAAGGGGTTCAAGAGACGACTCATTACTGTGAAAGGCACTCACAGGTCACAACACTGTGCTGTGCAATCCCACCTACATGAGGTAACTAGCTCAGTCAGATTCAGAGACAGGAAGGAGAGTCCTGGTGGGAGCAATGGGTACAGGTGACAGCTTGGGAAGGTGAGAAAATCTGGAAATGGAGGGTGATAATGACGAGGAACGATGTGAACGCACTTAATGCCACAGAACTACAGACTTAAAAATGGCAAAAATGGTAAAAGTGATAAATTTTGTTATCTGTTCTTAACCACAATGTAAAAAAATTGTCTAATCCAACGCCCCCATTATAGAGATGAGGACAGAGTTTCAAATGGGTCACACGCCGTCCATCCAAGTTCACACAGCTCCTCAAAAACGAAAAATTTCTAGTTCTATTTCCACTAACAACAGGGCCTCTCAATTCTTTGTAGGCGACAGTATAAAACAAGAGACACCACTAGAGACACCGTGACTAACAGGAGATGAGCAACAGATCACAGATAACCCGTAAAGGGGGCACCCGGGGGGCTCAGTCAGTAAAGCATCCAATGTCAGTTCAGGTCATGCTCCCACGGTTCCGGAGTTCGAGGTCCCACACTGGGCTCTCTGCTGTCAGCACAAAGCCTGCTTCAGATCCTCTATCCCCATCCCTCTCTGCCCCTGACCAGCATATTCTCTAAAAATAAATAAATACAGTTAAAAAAAAAAAGAAGATAAACCGTAGAGAAAAAAATAATTTACAATCATAACCAAACTTAATCAGCTTTTATTCTATGTATTTGTAGGTCTTCTCTAAATCATTTTATGTCCCTTCTTATTCTTTTTCCTTTTTTCCTATGTATGTTCTTTCGTGCTATTTTACATATCCTTGTAATCCTTAAGATTTCTTTAAAGCAAAATGGGAACCTCATAAATAAAACGCAGGGCCAAAATGGTAAACCAATCATCAAGAGTAAGTTAAACTACATCCTGAATACGTGGCTTACAAAAGAAGAGAACATTCTGAAACACTTTTCATCAAAATAATTAACGCTAACATTCGGGGTTTTAAAATGTTCCCCAATGGCATAAAAGCAGCTTTGATATACTGAAACGTAAACATAAACCACTCAAGGACGTCTACCCCTTGTAAGCCCAGGGTTTTGTGCAGAAATACCTTTCAGAAGAATTACCTTGGAAACCACTTGGCGTGCTCCACCCACGGGTCGTCTCCAGATTCCCAACACCTTAAGCCACCATCACAACAAAAGCATTTGACGTCATCATTGCGACCTAAAGAAAACAGACCGAAGTTCAACATGCAGGTTCTAATACGTAAACAGAAGTGAACGGGAGAAAACACACAGCTGTGCTAGGCTCTCACCCACGTAATAGAAGCCGGCACTGGCGAGCTGCTCGGGTTGGACCGGGACGCTCAACGGCCAGCACACGAACGTTCTCAGCCGAGCTGCGTGCGTCTGCATGCTCAGGTTTGAAATGCTAAACCTCAACGTCTCCAGAGAATTTTCCAGAAACGGGCAGTTGGGAAAATGTCTCCGATGCTCTGACAGAGCGTCATCCTTCGGCTCCCAGTTACTGAGAGTGCCACCGCAAGCAAAGCAGGCCACCTTGTCCCCAGGCCCTATGTAATAGAAGCCGGCTCTCGCCAACTCTGAGGGTGACAAGAAGGTTAATGGCCACATGTGGTAAGTCAGAAATCGAGCTTCCTCAGTACTCATCGCGTAACTGTAGGGGTTAGTCCTCAATGGGGAGAAGTCTTCGAGTGCTCTAGAATTCACAGGGTTTGGTGAAAGGTTGGAATGAGAACCACTGAATGTGCCACCGTGTTCCAAAGTGGGAGACAGCAAATGTGGAAAACTGTTTCTCATTGGAGAAGCATTCTTAGAGGTGGATTCCAGACTAGTAAGAGAAACCAGACTGTGAATAAAACTACAGCTGGGATACAGCTGTTTATGCTTTTCAATAGGACTGTCTCCATGCTTCCAGTTGTCCAGCATCAGGCCACAGCAGAAGCATCTAACCTTGTCCTTCACACCAGTGTAGTAAAACCCAGCACGCGCGAGACTCCTTTCCGAGACAGGAACACCGGCGGGAAACGTCGAATACGTGGACATCCTATACAGTTCACATGAAAGGTCATACTGTATTCTTTGCTTGCTGCCGACTGTCCGATTTGCGAAGATCGTGCTATCTTCCATTGTACTCTTAATTCTCTGACAAGAAGAACCTGGCACGAGTCTCTGGGAAGTAGTTTTGTGCATGAGTGATTTCACTTTTTGATGGCTAAAAACCTTCACATGAAATTTCTCAACTCTTCGCCCTATATTAGGTTTTTTTTTTGGTTTGTTTTTTTTTACCGTAAAAAAGAATCAAGTAAGGTCCTACTTATGTGAAGTTCACCACACCCTCTTTACAGGATTTATACCTGAGTTTACACTCAGGTGGGATGAATATCTTTCCTTAAGTATCAAGGTACTATTTAGTACTGTTTAAGATTATAACATCATTTGGTGTTATACTAACATAAAGGCCTCAAAGAAGCTGATACACGAATGAAAGTATGTTAAAACTGCTGGATTCTGCAAGGAGGCTGATATTCCCAAAATTCTAAATTAACAACGTACCTTAATTATGCCTTTAATTTACTCTTAGTTATAAGGGACAAAGCCTGTTTATCAAGACAATTACTGATTATGCCTCAAGAGGGAAAACCTATACTCAGATTTCTTTCAAGCACTTTAACATTTTTTTTTAAAAACTTGTTTTATTCTAATAAACAAGAATTAAAGTCTTCATAGAGTCATATTATCTAAAAGCTAATTTCACATAGGTTATCACAATATTCATTTAAGTGGGTTACATTAACTTCAGTACCTACTTCTGGGGATATCAACACCCACAAGCTTTATTGAACCTATAGCCTGTTTAGCGTGTATGATGTCAAACGAAACGAAATCTCCCTAAAGCGAACTCTTCCACCTTGGTTAAATATTGTCTATATCTGTTTCTACTTCCTGCAGCATCCTTATGTTGTCTTTCTTCCTAACTCTGCCTACCAATTTATTATACTTGACCAGTTGAAGGTATTTTCTTCATCAACTACTTAACCATAAAATTCCCACAAGAGAAACTTCTACACTGCATTTAAAAAGCCAATAAACTATCTTTCATTTAGAAATCATGTATATATTCATTTTGTAGAGATAAATCAACTTACGAAGATAACAGCTTATTGTTTCTAGTGTTACCACAAATGCTTAACAAAACATCATAAACAGAATTACTATTTGTGCACATGTACCAGTAACTGACCCTACTAGGCTATTCTCTGAAAACGCTTAATGTTTTAAAACTGTAATTCACACACAAAATTACACTCTATAGAATTCAAACTATATCCCTTTATAAAGTTCCTCCCTAATGGGAGTCTCCATAACGGGATTACTGCAGGGGAAAGAAATGGGGGGGGGGGGGGGGGGGGGGGGAGGAGTCGACTCTTCAAGGCTGAAAATCTGGAAAGAAGAAAAAAGCTATTTTAGAAAACTGTACTTTCATGGTAAACAACTAATAGGCTGTTCAGGGCATTCACTAAGTCTAAAAACGATTTACACTTCAGATAACTCCAGAAACAGTCACCAAAATTTTCCAACTAGAAAAACTCTTAATTAAAAAAAATGCAACATACCCCATGAGCACTGATTATACCTTTTTTAAAAATAATTTTAGTATTTATTTCTCTGTTCCTTTTTTAAAAATGTTTATTTTGAGAGGGAGACACAAACGAGCAGGGGAGGGGCGGAGAGAAGGCCAGAATCTCCAGCAGGCTCCACCCCAGCAGAGCCCGAGGCAGGGCTGGATGCCACGACCCCGGGAGCACCACCTGAGCAATCAAGAGTCCCGCGCCTAACCGACGGAGCCACCCAGGCGCCCCAGCACTAGGATGATTTGTAAACCACAAACAGTGATGAGGACAGACATTAGCACCTCGAAAGCTACGCTGCTGTTGGTCCCCCCACTTCTGGTGACCACTTCTAACAGCTTCAGGACACGTCTGGCAGTTTGCTGGACGCAAAAGACGGCAGCGGAGGAGGGAGCCTGCGGTCCCTAAGAGGCACACGAACAGCAGTAACCTCACAGTCACGCTGTGCTAACCTGCAGGGCCAGGCGACTGGCAGTTAAGAAGAGAGGCAGCGAGAGCGCGCCCCTCTCAACACCTCACCCGCGCGCACAGAGCAGCCAGAAAACCCGCACACACCGCGGCCCGCGAGAGGCTTCCCTCACCTCGGACCCCGCCCTCCCGAGGCCGCGGGCGAAGGAC